CTCCGGAGTATTAGCACAGGCTAAGCTAACAACCCAACCCAAACAGGCAGGTTTATACCAGGGACTGCATAAAGTCGATAATGTAATGTGGTTTTCCTGGTTCAATATCCTAACATCTAATAGTCTGTTTTGTTTTCCTTTATATCTCTTAACTGTTTTCTGCTGCAGTTACCGAGTTTAATCCACCAGAAGATTAAACTTTAATCTCCCTGAATCTTTTCTAATTCTGGCCCAATAATTAATTTATATAGGCTTTATCATATACGTCCTATATCTGCTGTGGTGTAGTGCCTGTAATCAATGGTCTGCTGTGTAATATCCCTCTTAGGTTTATCACCAGGCAAAGAGATGTATTTCCTTTGTTACACTCACTGTGGTTTGGCTCCATCTCTCACTGCATAGAGATGCAGCACAAAACTGGACATTCATCCTCTATCACTATTACTTTTATCTGATTTCCCATGAGAAAAGATAAGATGTATTTTTTGCTTCTGTTCTCGTTCATCTCCGTCTGACAGAGCAGGAGTGAAGATCAGAGGATAGATACGTAGCTTACATATTGTATTTTACCTCCAGTATATTCAACTTAACTGAATCCCACCCTCCTCAGCCCCTGTGTTTTTTCTTCAGGTGGCAACTGAAGAGAAGTGGGCTTCGAGAACATGAGGGTGAAAACTGCAGGCGGTTGAATATAGTGAGGGAACAAAAGTGGCGAAGACTGGCTGAAATCTGGCACACACAAAAAAAATACACCCAAGGCAACTGGGGGGGAAATTGGGTGAGTGAATTCAGAGCAGAACAGTGTGTACACACAGACACACACACACCAACAGGCAGCAGTATAATGTAGCCTTGTTATATCCACCTTCAGTAGAGCTAGTGTTCAGGGCAATTATCCAGAGAGTTGCCCCACCTAGAGAAGCCCGCGTGTCAGCCGCGGAGCTGTAGCTGGACAAACAGCAGCTGTGACGATTAAAGAAAACACTCCACACCTCCTCCCTCCAACATATTTTCACTGCTTCCATCAAAATAGCGAGATGCCATATGCACTGTAAAGCTGCAGAATACAAAGACTAGGTCTCAGGCAGCTGAACGTAAACAGTGGGCAGCTGCCAACTGCCCAGAGCCATCAGGTCATCAGTTGAGCCGGAGCTGATGAAATGTGGGAGGACATGAGAAAAGGAAGTTGCCTCCTTCTCTTCCACTGTCTCGTATGTGCTCATCCTGGAATGTGTCAGAGCAGTCGCAGCCTGTCACCGTGAGCTGGAAGCAGCAGCAGTCATTAGGTTATACATAGAACATGAGCCCACTTTATCTCCAAGTTGAAACTCCAATCTGTCTTTTTCAGTAATTTTCAACTTATCGCAAATGAAATTTAATCTAACACGACTGGGATTTGATCTGTGCCTTGTGATACATTTTTAGCATAAAACTATTTGAACTCGTAACTATTCCTGCGTGGGGACTGAAGGCAGACGTCTCCTCCTGGAAACTTTCTTCCTTTGTTAAAAAGCTGCCTTGTCAATCTGCTACTGCCACGTTTCCCTCGTTGCAGATAACAATTACTGTGCTTCCATTACTGATTATGCTACACCGCCTCAAAGACTGGGATGCTCTGATGCCGTCTGCTGGATCCGAATCAGGCCCGTTCCTGAGATCAGGCATCGGCCACATCTGGCTTCTATCTGCCATTGGAATGGATAAAATCTACGTTCACCCCTGGGTCCGATCTGCAGCGATGGAAATGTGACACCCGGGTGAATGTGCAAATTTGGTAAGACACCGAAAAATGACCAATACAGTCGAAAACCACAAATATGTTCAAGACATGAAAACAAACGGGAAAAGCAAATGTCTCCAGTTGTACTTAAATGTCCAGTTTGTAAGATTTAGGTGAAAGGGAAACGTTTCTAAACCTCTAAATTGTATGAATTGTAGTTTTCTTTACCCTTTATATTAAAATACTTTATATTTACATCGAGGGGACCCTCTCTGCGGAGGCCGCCATGTTTTTTACATTAGTCCAGACTGGACAAACTAAACACCTTTTGAGTTTTTATGACAACTGAAGCTGCCACAGGTTCTTTTTCATGTCTGGAAGGAGAGGGTGAGGTGAGGGGTGTTCAGCTGCAACATGAAACTTCAACACTAGATATCACTAACTTCTACACACTGAACCTTTAAGTCAATTAAATGATTACTTCATTATGACTCTTGATCAATTAATCAATTAGCTAATCAGTGTGTTTTTATGTTTTAGATGTGTATTTTATATATAAATTGAAAAAAATATATATTATCTGTTTATTCAGTTTCAATAAAAACTCATCTTCTAGTTGATTCAGTTCAACTTGTTAAAAGATTTTACGTTCTAAAGCGACAGTCCTGTTAAAAATCCTATTTTCATGAAGGTCATACCGTCCACATTTCGTGTTGATTGAATTTCATGGTCACTCTTCAGGTTATTTGTGCTGCTGTTGGATTAAACTGTAAACATTAAGCAGTGGCATCAGGTACGTAATACACTGGGCACTATTTATTTTGTGAACTGCAGAATAAACTATATTGCATATGTTCTGTTGTGGTTTCACATTAAAAGGCATTTCTCAACATATGTGTCATTTCAGAAACTCAATCAAAACCATTAAAAACGTTCCCTTTGATTCCGAGGGACTGAATCATTCAGCATTTGTGTTTTTAGACAGCTTGGGAGTGTTTCTCCTTTCAAATCGTGCTGATGCGACGAGACAGAATGTGCCCAGGAACACAGAGAACATCTCCGGTTGTATGTGTTTCATGATAGATTTCCTCTTAATCCAGCTTCACTGGCTTCATTAAAGTCCAGATCCATTTTTAATGCGCAGCATGTAATATGGAACAGCTTCATCTGGGCGAATGTAAGAACTCTGCTACCCCAACGTAAGGGCACATTGTAGCGAATTCCTCCGCACTTTGCCAGCCAGCCACGGCTTTGAGAAGTCAGCAAGGCCTTAAGTTCCTGAAACCCCTCCAGAAGAAAGAAAAAAAAACTGATGGGAGGGAATGGCTTGAGGAATGGTTGGTATTCTGAAATGTTTTTCTTCTCCTCAAGTTTATTTCTGTCTTTCATCGGGGTCCAAGGGAAACTCTGCCCCGGGGCCAGTCGCAGAGCATCGCTCTCACACATCACCTCATGCTGATGAACACAAACGCACTGGACAACACGAGAGGGTTTCTTATAAGAAACATCAGCGGCGAGCACACGTTGGCTGTGATGAAGGTGATCCCTCCCTCATGTAAACACAGTGCAACGCTCACTCACCAAATCACACAAGATAAATGAAACCAGGGGATACTTCACAATCTTCATATCAGGCAAAGCTCAGCCCGCAAGAGCTGCAGATTTCAATCTCTCTGTACAACCAGGACACAAACTTAGAGAGGAGAGAAAAATAAAATAAAGAAGAGGAGGAGAAGTTGGAAATAACAGCCTGATGGTCGTTGAAAGTAGATTCGACTCATTATGACACTAAGAAACAACATGACGATGACTTACCTCTCACTTATCTCTGTCCTGGCTGCCTCTCCTCTTCCCTCAGTGACTGACAAAACTTCTTAAAGTCTTTCTTCCCGCAGGCACTCTCTCTCTCTCTCTCTTTCTTTCTCTCTCTCTCCCCCCTCTCACCCTCTCTCAAGCCCCTGACTGCCCCAAAATAACAAGAAGGCGACATCTAGTGGCGAGCACAGCTGCAGCACCTTAAAAAAAAAAAAAAAAAAGGGAATAATGGTCCCTTGTGGAGCTGTTGGCAGTTTGGCCTCCTGACAATTTCCAGAGGTGAGTTATCGGCTAATTAGCTCTGAATCAAGAGGCAATTTTAAAAGCAGCAGGCGATGAATACAAACAGCAGCTTCTTATACATGTGAATAGTCTCGACCATCCGGGAGGGTTGCAAGGATGTGTTATTGGTTTTCTTTTATATACAGGAAGTAATACCACTATCCTGAAGCCATTATGGCCTCTGTAGAAACAAGGTACGTTTTCATGAACCGGTTTTTAAAATTCACCTGCTGAGAGTGGAAAGTTTCTCAGCGCTCAGCTAAAAGTTTGCATTTCAGACGTGTGCGATCTGTGACACAACCGCTGCGACAGACAGTCATGGTCCAACAGGCAACTTACACAAGTGTGATGTGGAAACTCTGCCTGTGTGTGTGTGTGCTGAATACTGAGAGTACTGCTTCACGTACCCTGAATCCAGTATTTACTCTTCAGAGTCACAGGTTCAACTTCATCGACTCGAGTCAGTGAAAATAACATTATTATCATAATAAGTATTTTAGTGTCATATGAACTTCGATGTAATAAACACACGTGAAAATATAATATTTCATTGAAACTCAGAGTCTGTGTTAGAGAAATAGAGGTTGATATTATCTTAAGACTAAATATATAAATAAATATAAATATAAAGATGAATATATATTTAAAATATATATGCTTGTATGTATAATATACTGTGTGTGTGTGTGTTTATATAGACACAATTAAAATGTATTATTACTTATTATCACTCTAGTCTCTCTCCCTCTCCCTCCCTCCCTCCCCCCTCTCTCTCTCCCTCTTTCTCTCTCTCCCTCCCTCCCTCCCTCTCTCTCCCACCCTCTCTCTCTCCCCCTCTCCCTCCCTCTGTCTCTCTCCCTCCCTCTCCCTCTGTCTCCCTCTCCCTCTCTACCTCCCTCTCTCTCTCTCTCCCTCTCTCCCTCTCTCTCTCTCTCTCCCTTCCTCCCTCTCCCTCTCTCTCTCTCCCTCCCTCTCTCTCTCCCTTCCTCCCTCTCCCTCCCTCTCTCTCTCTCTCTCTCCCTTCCTCCCTCTCCCTCTCTCTCTCTCCCTCCCTCTCTCTCTCCCTTCCTCCCTCTCCCTCCCTCTCTCTCTCTCTCTCACTCTCTCACCCTCTCTCTCTCTCCCTCTCTCTCCCTCCCTCTCTCCCTCCCTCTCCCTCTCCCTCTCTCCTCTCCCTCTCTCCCTCCCTCTACGGTGTATATGGGTGCTCGCTCCCGGCGCCAGCTTCCTGTAGTGTGCTCGCTCCCGGCGCTGTCATCGGTCCTGTGGTGTCTCACGTGTGTGTGTGTGTATAAAAGCAGCGGCTCTGTCCTCATCATGTCCACTGTGTCGCCTGACAAGCGGAGGAAGATGGAGTCCGCCCTGAACCAGCTGAAGAAGCACACGGTGGTGGTGGCGGACACCGGAGACTTTCACGGTAAAACACCGCGGCGCCTCTGCCCGCGTTAGCCGGCTAGCATGCTAACGAACTTAATGTGAATGACCGCCGTGCCAGTTAAACTTTAACATGGGGCTCCCTCCTCCGAATGCTATAGCTAGCTGAACACATGCTAACTGACCGTGTGAGTGTACATTTACTTTAACTACAGAAACGGACAGACTCATAATCGGATTACTTGTTGTTACCACATTTAGCCGCTGTAGCTAAAGCTAGCGAGCTAACTAACCTGAAAGCTCCAGGATATTATTTACATTAGCCTCGCAGCAGCGTCACAATGACTTTTACTTTAAACTAACCACATGTGCACATATCAGACACGTGCACGTGTTTGAAACCGCAGCTCGTGCGGTGATCTAACGTGGAACAAGGTGTAAAGTGTGCGTTACTTCCTCGTCTGTCTCTGTTCACGCCACACGGGGAAAAGGTCGCGTTTCTCAATGAGGAACAGTTTGCAGAAACACTATCACGTTGTGACGCAAACCAGAAAGTTCCTCATGCACACTGTGCACACTCAGGATGACATGACACAACTGGTCTGTGTGAGTCTGCAGCAGGGGTGACAACAGGGGTTATGTTACACACACACACACACAGAGACACACACACAGACACACACACACAGACACAGAGCTGGTGGGGGTTTGCATCAGGCCACTAATGGTTATACTACCTGAAATGATTATATTCGCCATGGATTCATCCGTAAACACGTTCATTATGTCTATACAATACAAACAAACACATTGTCTACAGATTATGGTGAATTTGTCGAATTGTTTTGTTCCCCCAACCTTCCGAGTCTCAAAGATATTCATTGTGCCGTCATGCATGTTGAAGAAAAACAAAAGAAAAGTGACAATCGGGACTTTTCAAGCAGGAACCTGTTGTGATCCATGCTCTAAAGATTACCAGGAAGTGTTGTACCTGAATGGTTGTTGGATATTTTACCGTCTATCAACTCATAATAATAATAATAGCTGCCCTAAACTCAAAGATATTCATGGTACTGTCATGTTTGGCAAATGAAAAGAAAAGAGACCATTGTGACTTCAAATGTTGTCAGGAGATTATTTAATTATCTAAATGTTTGGTCTTTTGACCAAAGAAAGGCAGCTCAAAGTGATTTACACACAATAATGATAAAAATAAAACATGTTAATAAAACATATTAACATGTAACAGATTTTAATTAATGTAAGACCAAGTTAAAATGACATTTGAAAGAAAATAAGAAAGAAGAGGAGAACATTTAATAAAAATGCATAACAACAAAATAAATAATAGTGTGTGTGTGGGTGCAGTTTTCCTCAACTATCCTACTGTGTAATTACAGTAACACAAACTAATGTATAAATAAGTGGAGTCCAACATTGCTGACAATAAGATCTGTTGACTGGAATGTAATCGACAATTTTGAAGCAGTTAATTGCATTTGACATTAAATGGATCAATCTTTATTGTAAAATATTGCACAATTTAAATATAACAAATTAGCTGAAAAATAAATAAATCATTTTTATCTATTTGTGCAGTTCAATCCAGCAACAACTGTAGAACTAATAACACGTGTTCACAACATCTAACTGTACACGCTGCTCTTTTACACTTTCTTTAATCAAAGTATCTCATCGGTGGTAAAACATTTGTCATTAACACCTTTGTCGACAGAAATAAAAAGACTTGTGCACAGTTCAAGTAGAAATAAGAACTGTGGTTATTCAGGATTTGCAATTGGTCCTTTACAAAATGTACATGTCTGGTTTATGTAATCACGGTTATGCCCAAATGTTGTAACGCTTCTCCGGTTTCACCTGTTGCAAGTGTAGACGTGTTATAATCAAGCACCAACGCCTCTGTTTCACACACACAACTGCAAGAGCATGGTCAACAATGCTGTAACACCACCATCTTACTTCACTTGTGTAAGTGGTGGATAATGTTCTCTGGGACATTAATCTAAGTGGGGACAGGGGCCTGTGGGGGCTCGTGCTGCCGGCCTTAGCTGAGGTTTGTCTTCTGCTTATATGCATGCTAATGTCACATCTAGATGAAGGTAGTATTCTGACCGGGATGTTAAATACATTATTGATTCTTGTTTGAGGTTGTTGTGAGTAGATTGTGCTCACAGAACAGTGTGTGGGTGATTCTTACCCTCCAACAAGCTCCCTGATCATACGACTGCTAATGTTGTGAAGCTACAGCCGTTCCGGTATCATTTGGTTGTTTGCTGTAATTCTGCTGTGATGTAAATACAGTTGGTGAACTGAACTTGAATGTCCAGTGGAAATGGAAGTGCATGTCCTCTAGTGGGATCACTATTAGATTATAGAAACATTATACCCATATGCCAACAGACCAGACCCCGTCTTCTGGGAATTCTTTTATGAGCAGCTCTTAAACCGTGCAGCTAATTGACCGTGTACCGTCTTGAACAGTTGGTCACCACCAGCATCCAGTCCAAACCCTCTGGTCTGCAGAAGAATCCTTTTTTTTTTTTTTGTTGTTGGATGAGCGTTGAGACAACTGGCTGCAGAACAGAGGCAGTCTTTGTTCTGCGGCTGCAGAGCTTGCGACACTGCCTGAACTCGCACTAACCCACTTTGCCCCATGACAAGGCCCTGCCGCTCACGCAGATTCAATCAAAATTTCCAGGTCAGTGCTGTGAACGACAAGGAGATGATTTTAAAATGTTGCCGTAGGTTATGGAACAACATAACTTACCTCTTTAAGCCCGTTTGTCAGAACTGTTAAGTACGGCCGTTGAATAATTCACAGAAACACATAATCAAGCTTTTTTAATAAACAAATAATTATTCAACCAGTTACCATTGCTCCAGTTAAACCTTTGTCTTCTAATGCTAAACTGTGTAATCCTCATGTGATGATGTGAAACGCTGATATCATTTGCCTGTAATGAATCTGAACAGGTTTTTCAGAGACAGCGTCTACACACCAGATGGCGCAATTGCTTTCCCAGAGCAGCAGTATATTGAAGCGTCAACGTGACAGTTCTCTCTCTGTGAAGAGGCAAACTGAAGTGTGGCCACTGTCAGCTGAGACCGCTCTGGGAGCGTTTAAAAATACGTTTCACCTTTTTGTTTTTAAATTATAAACCCGAAATATATATTTTCAGTAAAGCCTGTACGATTCAATGAAAACTTAAGGAGTGTGTTAGAAAAGCAAAAAAGTACCAATCCTGCAATAAATGAGGAATATGATATGCATGTGCCCTTGCTGTCTTCCCACCCTGCAGCCATTGACGAGTACAAGCCTCAGGATGCCACCACTAACCCATCACTCATCCTGGCTGCCGCGAAGATGCCAGCCTACCAGCAGCTGTTGGATCAGGCCATTAAATACGGCATCGCCAAAGGCGGGTAAGAGGTGACACACGTACGAGAGCCAAACCAGTCTTTTAATTTAACCTCTTGGAATAATTTGATTAATATCACTGATGTGAACGTATGAGTCAGTCTGTAAAGAAAAGCAACCATGTCAAATTATATCATGTATTTATATTCAGTAATTTAAGATGTTAGTCTTACAGGAGGTGTGAAAAATGTTTGCAGGGAAGCGCCACCACATGAGTAAAGTAGGTAATTAAGACAGAACAATCATGAGAATCATAAAACAAAATGTACAGTGATGACAAAGACATGAGAACAAATAAATATGAATGAAATGACAGTCGTTGCGATAACATTTGCAATGTGTAGATGTTTGTTGAATGATCACAGATGTTAAATATTACACCTTGTGTGTGAGTAACTGCTGTGGGAGTTATTTATTCAGGAGTCTTGTGGCCCTGTAGAGGTCGCAGTCCACTGCTTTGGTGTCTCGCCCCACGGAGACGCTGTTGGGGCCCATGTCGAGCGTTTAAGTCCTTGCGGTAGTTTGAGACATTGACCTTTTTGTTATGTTTCCGTCTTTGTTCAGAACTGAAGACGAGCAGGTCGCCAACACCATGGACAAGCTGTTTGTGAGTTTCGGGCTGGAGATTCTCAAGAAGGTGCCGGGCAGAGTCTCCACTGAGGTGGATGCCAGGTAGGTGCAAACGACGATGTCGCAATCGGGCGAAATATGACAGGAAGCGTGATTGATTGGATCCCTCAAGACCGAAGCTAATGCTGCGACTTCCTGCAGCGTCACTCATAAGAACCAGTTGTTAATTATGTCGTCACTCTAATGTGAAGAATACACTTAAACCAGCTGCACTTATGAAAAACCACTTAAGTCTGACATTCATCTTTTCACACAAAGCGAACATTTTGTTCCAGTACTCATTAACAGGGAGCAGCTGGGGATCGAAACCGCTTCTTAACCTGATAAACCTGAACTCCGTGCAGCGACACAGTTGCCCCCTTAAATCAAAAGTGTGTGTGTCAGTTGAACAAGTGCTGGAATGTCTGCGTTGTTTCCCCCGACAGGTTGTCTTTCGATAAAGATGAAATGGTTGCGAAGGCTCTGAGGCTCATCGCTCTGTACGAGGAGGCGGGCATCGGTAAGGAGCGTGTGCTTATCAAGCTGTCATCTACCTGGGAGGGGATCCAGGCCGGCAAGTGAGTCTGTGATGTGTGCTCTTGTGTTCACCGTGGTCCACCCACTTTGCATATGTCCCAGTTCACGAAGTCCATTTGTGTCATCTTGGGTGCGCGAAACATTTTTTACATTTGACCTTGCAGGATTTTAGATCCCAAGCTGTCTTGAGGAGCAGTGTCCACATTTCAAGACATTTTCAAGGATATTTAAAGTTGAGATCAAACTGTTTTCAAAGGTTTAGAATTTAACAGGAAAATTGTTGACAGAGGTTTAGATCCCACTAACACAGGCCGACCAAATTATATTTCTAGAAATAAAATCTTATGCAGTGTACGGCAGCATATAACAAAGTCAGGAGTCCTGTTATCATGTGGACGTATTTGCTGTTTGTAGTGTTTTTAAAAAAATAACATTTGTCTTTTTTCGTGCAGGGAGCTTGAGGAGAAGCACGGCGTTCACTGCAACATGACCCTGCTGTTCTCGTTTGCTCAGGCTGTGGCCTGCGCAGAAGCAAATGTCACACTCATATCGCCCTTCGTCGGACGCATCCTGGACTGGTACAAGGAGAGCACAGGCCGCAAGAGCTACGAGCCACATGAAGACCCAGGTAATCCAGGACGTGCTGGGCGATGATGAAACCTGCCTCTCTGTTTGCTGTGGTGTAAAAGACGGCGTGTTGTTGGAAACAGTTTACCATGAATGAATGGTTTCGTGTTTTTAGGTGTGCTGAGTGTGACCAAGATTTACAACTACTACAAGAAGTTTGGTTACAGCACCGTGGTCATGGGTGCCTCGTTCAGAAACACGGGTCAAGTCAAAGCCCTGGCCGGCTGCGACCTGCTCACCATCTCCCCTGGGCTGCTGGCAGAGCTCAGCCAAGATCACAGCACCGTCACCGAGATGCTCAATGCTGAGAAAGGTACTGCTTCTTCTTCTCAAAGCCTCTCCTGCAAAATACTGCTCTCAGCTTCGTTTGGTTTTGTTGTCTTTTCTCATGGACATTCAGTGAACTGTGAATATAGAAAGGGGAGGAGTTTGACAGAATACTTCAGAGTAAAGTCCAGATGATCGCAGTTGGACCTGGGCCGATAATCAATAAATCAATTAATCGCACGATAAATTAAAATGAACTCAATCATTTTTCCGGCCTCGATATATCGCCATGTGCATGCGTGTTTGTTTTCCTCGTCTCTCGCCTCCGAGCTGGATGACAAGAGGGTTCACTCTGTGCTCGGTCTCAGCACCTGGGGGCGTTTGTTGCGGAATGAACGGAGTGAACCCTCTTGTCAGTCATCCAGCCTCTTTTTGTCTCTGTGGGGGGGGGGAGGCGGGGCCGTTGGCATTGGCTCCACACACAGAGTGCAGCGAGTGAGCGTCGTGCGGAGCAACGCGAGGAAAAAAGATAAGTGCAAAGCCAAATGCCACAGCCCCGGTGTGGGAATGTTTCGGCTCCAAACCGAATGAGCCCATCAACACGGACGAGCCAGTTCAAAACAAAGTTGCATGCCCACCTAAAGCATCACCACCCGACCCAGTGTTCCCAGCTGGGAAACAAAGTGCACCGACAGTCAACACTCACTGAGGCGTTCGGTCGACAAAGCAAATATAAACGGAACGGCGCAAAATGGTGTTCGCTCACAGAAAGTGTAGTTCGCTGCATCGCAAAAGAAATGCTGCCCTTAGTACAGTTGAAAATCAGCATTGAGAGAGATGCTGCAAACGTTTGACAGACAGAACGAATTACCTGCGAGAAAATAGATGTCACAAACGGCCTAAATGTTTATTGAAGTGCAATTTTGATTATCGAGACTTGATGAGCCATTTTATTTATTGTCTTGGTTTGTGTGTGGTTTTATATTTGAGTGCTGTTTTTGCTAACAGAGACTGAAAGTCCATTTTATTTTTTGTTAATTGTTTTTTGTTTGTTTTATTTATTTAGGATATTTAAACGTTCATTAAATCACGACGGTAAAAAAAACACTGAGAAATAAAAGTTTCTTGTATTTGAAAGGAAGTGCATTATTATGATATATTATCATGTTGACAATAATATCGTTTATCGGCAATAATTTGTGGGACGATATATCGTCCAGCAAAATTTGTTATCGTCCCAGGCCTAGTTGGACCAAATTCTTTGACGCCCAGAGAGATAAAATAAATACGAAAAATAAAAGAAACCCCGGCTTCTCTGCACATTATCATTATTGATGCAAACAACGAGGCACAGACACCTGTGATTGCAATTTCACACTTGTGTCAAACGACAATTGTGTCAAGTGTTTATTTAGTGCCATTTAATGACAGACATGAAATGACTGATTATAGGACAGAGGCCCAGTAACCGGTCAGGCCAGGAGTCCTGCTGTGGACAGGCTGGTTTCAGAACAACTATCTCACGCCTGAGGGTTTTCTGAAGCAGAGGACATGAAATAAACAATGTTTGATAAACATTTGGTTTTTCCTTAAACTGAACATTTTAAAGAAACCAATAAAGCCGGCCTTCTTCATCCTCCTCCTCTTCCTCAAACCTGTCTGACTGAGTCTTGAATTTTCTTCTCGGTTAATTTAGTTGTTGGAGCATCAGCCGTTATGCATTTTGCCTTTCCCACAAGGTTTTCAGCAAAGCACAAAGTATTTCATCACGTCCTGAAAACAGGGCTTGTAAATCCTGCTCTGAAAGGAAAAGCACTAAAGCTCCAGTAGTGTTTGTTTTTTTTTTTTAACCTCAGAGCCCAGATGCCTTAATGTGATACAGTGATTATGTTGTACTTGTACACAGCGAGAGCTGTTTTAAATAAGTCCAGGGTCGGGTTCTTTCATCCAGAACACACCGCTGCACCTCCGGGGCTCCTCAGAAATGCACCTGCCAAGTTGAAAGTGGACTGGATGAGCGTTTATTGAGAAAATCAGCAGTAGGACAGAGACAGGTTTCTGGATTCATCAGTTAGACGAAGACTTGGTGAGACAGACTCGGTTTTAGAGAGGAGGTGTAAACTTTGAGCTTTGCACATATTTCCCCTTTGACGGGTTTGTTTTTGCAGCCAAGGCCAGCGATCTGGAGAGGATCCACCTGGATGAGAAGGATTTCCGCTGGGAACACAACGAGGACCGCATGGCAGTGGAGAAACTGTCCGATGGCATCCGCAAGTTCGCTGCAGACGCCATCAAACTGGAGACCATGATCAAAGTAAGGGGGTCGGGCAAATAGGTTTCTGTCTGTGCACTCATCCCGCACAGTCTCCTCGCAGCCAGGACAGAGATGATTTCCATCTATAGAAGGTGCTCGACGCTCACTTCTTGTTTTTTTTTTTTTTGAATCTCAGGAGAAGATGCTCGGTGTGAAAAACGGCCAGTAAAGGACAGACTCGGCATCTCCGGCTGCGTTGACAGGAAGTAAACGTGAGAGAAGGTCCGAAGCACCAGAAGGCCTTCTCGCTCCTCACCTGACTAAACTCCAGGGACCCTCCTGAATGGACAACTCTCCTCTCTTAGACTGAGACCAGCTTTTTTTCAGACCAAACACAAATGAGTAATTAACGTTGACGTGCAGTTTTATGTGAAACAGTCTAATATTTACCAGAAACCTAAAAAGATAGGAACAAAGACAATGTCTCACTGAGACTTGAATAGAAAGGACCATTTGACCAGGAAGGACGATAAATTAGCTCCACGCTCGGGTCGATAAAGACAATTGTACCGTCATTCCTTAGAATATTATATTTTGCTCTTTGAATAAATAAACATCTTAACCTTTGCGGGTGTTTCTGTTGTGCTGTTCTTTTCTTTAACTGGTGAGTGTTTTACAACAGGTGTCAGACGGCATTCCCATTGAAATATGTCTGGAGGTGAAGTTCAATTATAGGTATCTGGTCGTCTTTGCGTGCAACTAGTCGTGCCTCCTTTATGTTCTCTGGTTGAGCCGGTTTAACTTCATTCTTCCTCTGCCCAAATTCACCTGAACGTCCTCTTTAACTTCCTGAGTCCCGTGTACGGAACACGTTTACTGAAAGCTGCTAACACATGTTTGATGCCGGACCAGAGTTTCATATTATAAGTTGGACTTCAAAACTTTGCGAGTGGCTCAAGGTGAGTCTGAGTCTTCATAATTTCTACTGACGCGTCAGAAAGTTGATTTCTTTGTGGTTGTTGTGTTTCGTTCATTCAGAGTTCAGCGTCAATGCAATATTATTTCTCCGCAGCGGAGACATTGGTCTTTTGAGCACTGACAAATCTTTTTCTGAATGATATTTGAGTCACTGATTAAATTTTTAAGCTGATGATGATTATTGCTCTCAAAAGGGAATGAATCTAATAATGTGCTGGATTCAAAGTAAACGAGCCTCTTCTCCTAATCCTGCAGCCATGACATGGCTCAAATAACGATTGCATGACATAAACGTCTATAAGCTCTTTTATTTATTGTTATTATTTATATACTAACCTCAGAGAAGTGACACGTGTGTACTTCCGTGGTCAGTTTACAACAAAAAGTTAGGAAATGTACTTTAACATGTGTTGCGCTTCAAAAAATGAAGCCTCTGTGTTGTAACAGGGTTTCAGTTAAAAGCCTGGAATGCTCGAGAGTCGAGTCGGGCTCATGAAATGTGCAAAGCACTTTAAAACCTATTTTGGAAGTTGTGTTTTAGGAGAACAAAAATAAGTCATGAGCTGCTTCAAACCAATTCACCTCACAGACTGTTTTAGCCTTTTAATCACATTGTAATTCAATTAGCATCTCGCTGCCGTGGGTTGTGTCAGAATGAGTTAAACTCACTAAAGGTAAAGTATATTACGATATTCATACACTGATAATACTACGCATCTTGTTTGAAAGAAGATCAGGCTCCTACTAAACCGCAAATGGGTCTTATCTAATGTAAACAGATGAAATCTACTGAAAACTGTCTTTTGTATAAGTCCAATGTCTCCTTAAAGTCATCAAGACGTGTGTGATTTATATTATTACTCATTAAATTATTACTATATGACGGAAACCATCAGGTCAGGTTAATAAAAAGAATATGGTCTGATGACACATTTTCCAGTTAGAAAGATGATGTGAAGTTTATATTGATCAGAAAATGATTCCTCCTCGTGTCGTATATATGATGAGGGAGGACGTCAGCCATAGTTCAGAAATGTATTTTTCCAGGTATCTCTCTGTCTCGTGATCACGTGGTAGGAATGAAATGATTGTGATGTCAATAGTAAGTCAGTTTGTTGTTTATTGATAGATTGATATTTTATTGATCCAGAGAGAAATTAAG